AATTATTCTGAAACACTGAGAAATCTTAATATGTGCATTTGCTTGATACTTTGAGACTACAGTCGAGAGTGAAGTTAGAGAATAGAATGTTTTCCAGATTGATACAGGAAGTGTTGATGTAGCACTTAACCTGTTGGTTTGAAGCCAGTGAACTAAACTCTAGCTTGTCCATGGTTAACTACCCATAAATAATTACCCTTATATATCTCCCACTTTACCCATTCATCTGTCTTCAGTGAACAACCGTATAATGAATAATTGAAACCTGGCTTAGTAGATTTTTAATGGTGATTGCTTATTGCTTTCCAAATGACTGCATTAGAAAAACTTATCAGTTTGGGATATACATTTTTTGAACCCTAAGTGGTTGAGAAGTATGATTTAGCTTACAGAGCAATTGAATATGTGAATAATAATATTATTTTTTGGAGGCTATCCTTTGATTTAGCCCACAGATGTATACATTTTAATAGTGAAGAGTACATTATCAAAATTCATATGTGAACTGAATGAATTTTTTATTGATAACAATTTTAGTCATGACTCAAATATAAATTATGTACATATGAATGATTTATTTATGTCTGGGGGGTTTTTTGTCAATAATTCTTGAAATTACATAAGTTTCATGATGTGGAATTAAACGCTAGCAGCTAAAAATTATGTAATTATTTATGTCAGGCCTCAGTAGACAAAATTTGGCATGTTAGTATGACACTTGATGTTAGTTGTAAAATAACATCAGAGGGCAGGTAGATAGTACTAACTGGCCCACTAGTTCTTATGAGCTAGTAATTAAGTTAAAAATTTTTTTTTTTCTAAACGGCCCAGGCAAGCTGAGTGTGAGATGCAAGACTTGTAGTGAATTTAAAATTATATTTAATGTGCAATGTGAGCTCATCGAGTATACTAAAGGATTATTTTTGGCTTTAAGACTTCATATGCTGTTTAAACAGAGTACAGAGCATGTGGATTATTCAGTGATACATGAAACTATGCATCTTAACAGGTAAATATTGGGAAGATGGATTCACCCATTGAAAAGTGGAACTTAATAATTGGCAACTTGGCTTTAAAACAGGTAAGTGATACATATATTTGTTTACAGATCTTGAGTTTTACCTGTAAGAATGGAATAAATTTTAGTGCTCTTAAGTCTACCATTTAATTGTTTCAGGGGGCCTAAAATAATAATTAGGTACTATGAACAAGTGATAGAATAAATGGATACCCATGGCTTCTGAAAGTTTTCTTTTCCTAGAAACTGATCAGATTCTTCTAAATATGAAAAATGTATAACATGCAAAATACAGAATAAATATATGAAATCTCTTCTACCATAAGTATATAATAGAGCCAGAATTTGAGTTAATACCTATACAAATAAATATTTAGCACTTCATGGCTTAGGTGCTGTTTTTCTACTTTGATTTTTTTCAAAGTAAATCCTCTATTTAATTAAACTCAGCTTTTAAAATTTATTATGGTAAGATGTTTGTTTAAGCTGAATTTTCCTTAATTTGTTAATGTTATCAGTGTTAATATAAATGAGCACATTAAATTGTCAATTACATATACATGAATTATATATAGATTACCTACAGTTCTACCTAATCTCAGGGGAATATCTCTTTCTCTCCCACCACCCTCTCCTATCCCCAAGACACAAGACTGCAGCCCCCTAGCACCTCTTTAGCAAGTGCAAGCTTAGGAAATGCTCACTAATTTTAACGTTAGTTCAACTGGGACATAATGTTGAGAACATGTGGCAAACAATTTATTTCATGTAATGTTCAAAGACAAAGAAATAAAGGAAATTTTGAAATATAGGCTTTAAAAAATATCTGTGCAACTGCTTCTTAGATCACAGGGATAGAAATAAGAAAATCTGGTATCTAATCTCAGCTCTAACATTAACTAGCTATATAACCTTTGTTAACTTAACCTTTCTGTGCTTAATTTTCCTCTTCTTTTCCACAGTATTGCACTAGAGACGTGCATGATCCTTTTCAGCTCAAAACTGTAGGAATCTGTGCTGGAGTAATAACCAAAATATCTAACAACCAATAGACAACTATAAATTAATATATAAATTAAAATTTGAAAATATATTCCATTTTTTTCTTTAAATACCCTAAACTCTTACTAAGTTATATGAATTGTACTATAAATTATTCATCAAATTATTCAAATAATTTTCCATCTCTGCTTTTAATGTTTCCTTTCACTCTTAGTCTCCACCCTTCCCTTGTCATCCTCTCTCCCCACAACTGTTGGTCAGGATGGGAGCCAGTGATGGCCGGGGATTCACTGATCCTAGTTGCCACAGCCTGAAGTCTGTGTCTTTGTCTCACTCCACCAAGGATGCATGAGAAACAGGGAACCCCACACAGGCCCATCAGGACATAGTCGGTGCCAGCCAGTGAGGCAGCAACTGGTTGGAGCCCAGTTACCTGTGGACAGAAGCAGAGGGGAGAAGAAAACAAGGTCAAGTGGTGGGTGGCGGTTGTGCTATCTCTGAAGCTTTATCCGCTAAAGCTCGTGAGGGAGTAGATGGCTTGGGGAGGGGCGTGGGATGGGTTAGCAGTGTTCCTTTGACTAGAGGCTAGTTATGGAGAATAGAGGTGGGGAGCGATGGAAAGGACAGAGGAGGCTCATGCTGGCATTAGCTGGGGTGTGTTCTTCTGACTATTAAATGGGATCCCAAGCAGATAATCTGTCACAGATTTCTTCACAATTGTACACAGTGGCCACCTCAACCTGTCCATAAATTGTCAAATAAAGCAAAGTTCCCAATCCCACTAAAGAATCATTACCTCACCAGGAGGGATGTGCCCTGCGCTCACATGTATTTATGGCTCCTGTTGACCTCCCCAGCTACTCCTTAACCCAGACTCTGCTCTTCTCTTGGGTACAACTGGGCATTTCCTCTGCAGTTTTACAGAATAGGACTTATTTATCTCAGGGGTGTGTGTGTGTGCGCGCATATGCTATAAGTCTTACATAGGCTCCCTGGCTCTGTGTTTCATTTCCAAGAAGTAAAAGCACTATATTTTATTTCCAAGAAAAACCTTGGAATCACAGTGCTAGAATTTAAATTATTAATTAATTTTATTTCTTTTACATACCATATTATTTACTAACCAGTAAGAGAATGCTGAAGTATCTTAGCAACTGGTACAACCATAATGGTGCTTACAGCTTGACTCTCAGCTCTGAATCTGCTGTAATGAGAGATGTGGGGCTAGAATCTAGGATATCTGGACTCGCTGGCCCAGGCTTTTCCATTAATTTGCTCTATGACAAGATCAGACTACTTGGGTTTTTCACCTGGAGCCCTGGATTCCAGTACATGGATTGGCTTCAGAGAGTCTAAGCACCCAGAAGTCCTACTCAAAATATTGAATGCATCTGTGTTTTCATGGAGGGAAGAATCTATAAAATTTTTGCCAAATTGTCAAAGGAGTCTATGACACAAACAGTTAAGAATCAGTGAACTGGAGATTGCTTCAGGGTTTCTTTTAGTTCTAGCATTCGACTAATAGGATTCTAAGAGTAGTTGCCTTTTTTTTTTTTTTCCTGAGGGTTGCTTTGTGCCACCACTGTGGGAAGTACTTTATATATTTATGTAATTCATTTAAATATCAAAATAACACTTTCATGTTCGATATTATCATTTTTCAGATTAGGAGCTAAGGTTTTTATAGCACTAATCACAATTGTGACTATTTGTGAGGTTATTTTTTAATGTCTGTCCCTCCCATTGACCAAGAGCTCTGTGAGGGCAGGAAATAAATCTGTTTTGACCACCATTGTAGCCCAACACTAAGCATAGCACCTTGTATATAGTAGATCCTAAATTAATGCTTGTTGGATGAATAAATTTAAATAGCTTGCCACAAGATTAAGTGGTCTAGCTCGGAATCAAACTCTTATCATTTGATTGTAGAATCCAATCTTTTGCCAATACTGTGTCTAGAGTCAGACTTTGGGTACTTTTCAGTCTTCAGGCTGGTATTTTTTTAGGTGATCTGTGGGTTTCACCATCAAAGTCACTTAGGGTGCTTGTTAAAAATAGACTCCTAGATCCCATTCCATACCTACTGCTGCCAGATCAGGGCACTTTGAGAACCCATCACCTTAGGGAATAGTAAAATAAAATGCAGTGCCTTCATCAAAAGGTAAGGCAAGTCAATTACCATATATAATACTTTCTTCTGATTCCTTGTATGCATATTTACATCATAAAATAAAAAATGCATTTTCAAAATGAATAATTCTGTTGGATTTTATTAAAACTTTTTTAAGGTTCAAGCAACAGTAGTTGGCTTTCTAGCAGCTGTGGCAGCAATTATATTGGGCTGGATTCCAGAGGGAAAATACTATCTTGATCATTCCATACTTTTGTGCTCCAGCAGTGTAGCAACTGCCTTCATTGCATCTCTTCTTCAGGGTAAGTAAATTTATAAATGTCTACTGTATAATATTTTACTTTCTAATTATTTATTTTCCATGTTAACTATTTTTATTTAAATGGTACTTGTTCATTATAAAAAACGGAGAAAAGTTATCTACAAACTTTTAAAATAGATTATTTCAGGTATATTTATATATATTATACATAATCCTTAGTATAGAGCAAGCTTTCTGAGGTTGTGTCCCAGCTTTAGGTCCCCTGGTGCAGCTCCCAGACAAGATCAGGAAAATAGTCTAGATATTCATTTGTTTCTGTAATTTAAATTAATTGAGAATCTCCTGTCTGGAAATCGTGCAGAGGATTTACCAGCTTGTCATTTGAGTAACAAGTATTCCAGGAATTCTGAGTTTTAAAAGCAGTCCCTCTGGGTTTCCCTGGTGGCACAGTGGTTAAGAATCCACCTGCCAATGCGGGGACACTGGTTCGAGCCCTGGTCCGGGAAGATCCCACATGCTGCGGAGCAACTAAGCCCCTGCGCCACAGCTACTGAAGCCTGCGCTCCTAGAGCCCATGCTCCGCAACAAGAGAAGCCACTGCAATGAGAAGCCCACGCACCACAATGAAGAGTAGCCCCGCTCACGGCAGCTAGAGAAAGCCCGCGTGCAGCAACGAAGACCCAACACAGCCAAAAATAAATACATTAATTAATTAAAAAAAAAAAGCAGTCCCTCTGTTGAAATTTTTTAAAGTTTCAGATTTGAAAAAAATTCCTTTACTGTTTCTGTGGCAATACGAGTATAACCATATGCTTAACACAGCATATTGTTGGCTATAGAATGTTAAAGAGCCAGAAGGTTTTAACGTTTAGCTACATTATAATTTTTTTAGTTGGGATATCATTCTTTATATTGATTTATTAATATCAACTTTACACTAGAGAACTAGCTTATTATGGAACAGTAATCATAAAGACTTGCTAATTTTTATTTTGTAATTGCCATCTTCTCATTTTAGATCACCAGCAAGGTTAAAAATGGAACACTCTACTGTCAGGTGATCATACAACAAAGCTAACTTTTTCAGCTAGGTTCTGGTAATTTAAAAACTCTTAATAAGACGTGACTACCAAAATATTTTCAAGCATTTTATTTTAGTCCTTAAATTGTACCAGAGGTAGTTTCTTGTCTTTATATAGAATTACTAGAATTGAATGGTGTTAACACTGGTGAAAGCATAGTGAAGTTATGCTATTGGGAAACTAATTTCTGGTAAAAAAAAAAAAGTGTTAAAGCTTTAGCACTCTGTTTCTTAGGCTCATTTGCTTCCGTTTTCTCTCTAATATTGTTTCATTTAGAAAAAATTGTTTAAAACTTTTCAGACTAACAAGTATTTGTATTGCCTGTGATTTTTAAAACCATAAAAATTCAGATTTTTAAAATATGTTTGTTAGTCTTCTTACTTTTAATAATGTGTGTTCTAATTTTATGATAACTTGTCCTTTATATATGTAGAGCAGATACTATTGACCACCTTTTGTAGGTGAGAAAGCTAACTTAGGTAAGGTGACTTGTCCAATTTCATCAGCTTGTTCACAGAAAAATCATAATTAAAACCCATTTCCTGCCTCCCAGCTCTTTCCACTGGTCCATGATGGCAAAATATTTGTTTTCGGCTGAAAAGTTATAGACAGCATTCTTTCATAGGAGAACTTTCCACATTGATCTTTAAATGTGCTGATTTTGAAAAAAAAATTTATATGATTACATCTTGACTGATTATTGTATAGTATGTTTAAGTTTTTTTCCTGCTATTGTTTTTTTCTGTTTACAATGATATTATGGGAAAGGTAAGTCCATAGATTGAAAAAGCCTCCAGAATATAAGACGTGAGACATTGAACAAAAATTGTACTTTCAATAATTTGGCTTTATGGGGTAGTAGAAAAAACACTGTTACTTTCAAGTTATGTGACCTTATGCAAGAATTTAAACCTACTCCTAGGACCTCAGTTTTATTATCTATAAAGTGAGTATGTTAGAATAAAATCATTTAGAGTCATTTTCAGTCTAAAAATGCAGTGAGATTCTGGTTTTTGTCTATAGCCATATTTAGGCTTCCATATTGATTTATGGTTAGCACATAAATGAACTAATCTTAAATTTTCTCTGCCCTGCATCCTCTTAAATGTGTTGGCATGAGAAAATCTATATAATTGGGTATGGCTATAATGCTATCATTTTTCTCCCATTTCTATATTCAAAAATATAAGGATTTAAAAGTATAAGTACACAGTCACATTTTCATCTTCTGTTGTTATAGGTTCATAGACAGAAACTTAGGGTTTAAAGAATATCCTTTACAAAGACTGCTTCTTGTATTCTGGCCTGCAGTGTTCAAAATTTAATTACTTCCCTCTTCTTAATGCCTCAACACTTTTTAATAATAAAATGAAGCAAGCATTTCTGGCTACCACTATGTAAACAAATCTGGTTTTGTTGGCCTTCTTCCCAATTGCTATGTGTATAAATATGACTTACCTTTTAATTAATTTATTTATTTTAAATTTATTTATTTTTGGCTACGTTGGGTCTTCATTGCGGTGCGCAGGCTTCTCATTGCGGTGGCTTCTCTTGCTGCGGAGCACGGGCTCTAAGTGCACGAGCTTCAGTAGTTGTCGCTCGCAGGCTCAGTAGTTGTGGCACACGGGCTTCGTTGCTCCGCGGCACGTGGGATCTTCCCAGACCAGGGCTCGAACCCGTGTCTCCTGCGTTGGCAGGCGGATTCTTAACCACTGTGCCACCAGGGAAGTCCTTAAATATGACTCACCTTTCTTTGACATTTTCATACTTTATATGAGGGTTAAAGTAAAATCTGGCTTTGATACACATGAATACATTACATCTAAGACATGCATGTTACTAAATTTGGAACTTTAATGTTATTTTACAGTAGCTCTTCAGGTCTCTAAATGCAACATTGAACTTCTCAGATCTTTTGTGATCCCTACTTGGAATTTGTTGAAAGACATTTTGCCAAAGCATTCAAGTAAAATGTTTTGTTTGCTTTAGTCAGCTTATCTAAGCAGTCTAACTGGAAGTGATACACTGTTTGTCTAGCCTATATATTTCAATATTTCGGGGGATTGATTTTCTTTAAATTATAGCAGAAAAAGTAATGAGCTTTATTTTTTTCTAGGAATAATAATGGTTGGGGTTATCGTTGGTTCAAAGAAGACTGGGATAAATCCCGATAATGTTGCTACACCCATTGCTGCTAGTTTTGGCGACCTTATAACTCTTGCCATATTAGCTTGGATAAGTCAGGGTTTGTACTCCTGTCTTGGTAAGTTGACTTGAAATTAACTATAATGCGTTATTCAGAGTCTCTTTAAATAAATATTGTTGCAGCAATGTCATGACTCCGTGGTGGCCTTCATCTGTGTTAGAACTGTAGTTGAGGCTGATTAGAACAATAACTGTTCCTTGTTGTACACCTACTATGTGTTGTGGTTCTCACATATTTTTCTCTTCTTAAAGAGTTTAAAACTCAAAAGATAAGGATTATCATTTCTAATTTCAGATGAGAAAACTGAGGATCATAAAGGTTATGTGTGTTACCCACTGTTGGTAGGAAGGTTGAACACAGATCTGTCATAGTCTATGAATTCTGCCCTGTCCTCTGAATGTGTAGCCACTGATGGGTCAACCCACAGGATTCTGATATGTGTGTTGCACTGTTATCTCAAAACATAAGGTTACGGTGGAGTTTGAAATTTAGTGATTTTTCCGCCTTTCAGAAACCAACGTGGCAATTAATACTAACAACCAAAAATCACCATGAAAATGAGCCTGAATGCTGTGTGAATTTGGAGTCATCTTATATATGTGATTCCTGATAATAGTAATAGGTTATTTTTAGAATGTAGTGGATTGTTTTAATGTAAATTTATACTGTGTGGCTATTGTCAATGTAGATGTATATGATTTGTGAGCATAGGTTTAGTGCTAAAAGTTGGTTGTAGTTTCATTTTTTTTGATGCCAAATTTTTTAAAAATTAAAAGAAAATAGAAACCCACAGTAATACAAAAAAAAAAAAAAAAAGAGCAAGAGAGACAGAGAGAAAGAGAGAGTTTATAAGCCAAGCCAGAAGCAAACATTTAATCACATATCCTCATATATTTTCATGGATCCTAGATAGATTTATGGTATACTTTAGAATAAATCTAAAGTATATTTGGTTTGTAGACGTAAGAGTCTCAGATAAATGTTTTTGAACTAAAGAGAGGGCTTTAACCTATAAAAGGCAGTCATTTTCTACTACTTTTGGAGATATCAAGAGAAGTTTCATGTAATATATAAAATCACCATAAATTATTTAATGACATAAAAACAATACTCATTAAGACTTGATATGTATGTTAAAGGAAAATTCTCATATAGAAGATAAAGTGTGTCTAGTTGAAGTAAGGTAGAAGACAGTAAATGATCAATGGCCCAAACGTAAGATCTTGTTCCCATAAAAAAGAAAAGTGTATTATTTGCAGACTTGGGTACTTAAATTACTATGTCAGCTGCCTGCCAAATACCAGGGTGTCTCCACCAGTTGAAGCCATTGAAGAATGTTACCATAATAAATATGACAAGTGTTATAATGATACAGAGACTATTACGATATTCCATAAGATAAATCAACTTCTGAGGAATTTATTTTTTAAAATTACACAAGTGATAAACTCCTTATAAAAGACTTAACATAATGTGTTATTCTCTAAAGCTTTCAATATTTTGAGTGTTATAGATGATATATTAGTAGTTTAACTAGATCAGGAAATTTAAAAAGTAAAATGTAATGAGACCATAATTTTGTCAAATAATTTTATTATTAAATATTGCTTAGCCTTTTCTAGGCCTTTACTTGTCTTCTGGAAGTTGACTCAAAGTAATTCAAGATGAACTAATTAAAACAGGATCTTTTACATTTCGTCTGTATCATTTGTTTCCCTAAAATTATATTTTTTAATGGGCTACTGATTGATTCCACTGTTAATTTAAAGGTGTTTCTGAAGTGCCAGTTTTGGATTTCTACAATAAAGTGTTTGCCTTTTGAGCACTAGGGGGCCTCATAGGACCAGCAGTTGGAAGCCTCTTATTGGAGGTATTCTGAACACAGAGATTAGGAATGGGCATATTTAAATTCCAAGATCCCATTCATCCTGCTGAGTGGGATGCCTAGCTCTTGGAGACAGAGTTCAATTCCTGAACTATATTGGAAATACTTAGCTGTCTTTAGAGATAAAAAGAGGATTTCATGGCAGCCATATGCTTTGGTTATAAATAGAGGCCCTCAATTATGTGGCTCTCAAAGAATTGGACATTGAGAAAAGTCTCACTTAACTCCTCACTTAGAGCTTTGGATATTCAGAAATGACTTTGAACAGCTCCGCTGGCGTTCTCTTAGCTTCGGTACAAGTACTGAGGCCCACTCTACATTCATTCAGTGTGCTACCTTTCTTTCACTCCTGATAAAATGTGCTGATTTCTGATATCTGAAGTAAATATGGAATTTCCCCCCTTCTCACCTCTCCAGTTCTCCAAAAAAGGACAAAAGAAACAAAGCTTTGTTTACTGTTAACTGACTTTATTTTTGTAGTCACCCTGAGGAAGTCTTTATTGCTTAGTGAGCAAGGTTAAAGTTTTAACTTGGTGTTCAGGCCTCCTGGAGTCTTACCTTCTCAAGCTCCTGCCTGCTCCGCCCTTTCTTGTACCTCTTGCCTTTCTTGTACTCCAGCCAAACTCAGCCATTCACTGATTCTCAAACGCCACCTGTGATTTTTGTCTTTTCTTTCTTATGTCATTCCCCTCCTCCATGAAGGCCAGTCAGAATCCTCATTTTTCAAAACTAAATTCATAAATTTCCCTAATCTTAGGTAATCTTTTTCTCCTCTGAATTCCTATAGCACTTTATAGACACTTCTCTTAAGTCATTCTTTATATTTGGCCAGTCATTATAGCTTTTTAAGTAAATGTAGTATCTTCCCTTATGATGGTATAAGCCTCTTGAGGACAAAACTGTGTCTTTATTTTATTTATTTGTTTTGTTGACCCCATAGTGCCATATACATAGTGGATGTTAAATAAATAGCACTTCACCAAATGTTTTATTCCTTTTGAAAGCTATCCAATTAATGTGAATAGAAATTTTTCAGGAAGTGGTATATGTATGGAACATGAAGGAGAGTTATCCCTCTAAATGACTTTGCCACAGTACCTGTCCAATAACATAACAGATTGTAATGAAAAAATGATCCTTTCGATGAGGACATAGTATTAGGAAAATAGAGTAGAGTATACTGCCTTAGCAGAAAGTATCTAGACATTAGTATCACCATAAAAAAATTAAAATGGCAACATGTGGCTAGAAAAAATCTATTTCAAATGCAAATAGAAGAGGAGGGACTTCCTTGGTAGTCCAGTGGTTAAGACTTCACCTTCCAATGCAGGGGACACAGGTTCAATCCCTGGTTGGGGAGCTAAGATCCCACATGACTCATAGCCAAAAAACCAAAACATAAAGCAGAAGCAATATTCCAACAAATTCAATAAAGACTTTAAATTAAAAAATGGTCCATATCAAAAAAATAATCTTAAAAAAAAAAGAAAATAGAAGAGGAAATAGAAAGTCAGTTTAGAGAGTAATCTAAGCTCTAGATTATGATATACTTAGGTATGACTTGCAGAGAAAGTATAAAAGCATTTATTCATCCATATGGTAATCTTTAAACATGTAGTTATTTTTAAAAACTATTAAAAGGATCTAACGTTGGGCCAGTAACTGAAATACCTGTACACAATGATTGTTGCCTTTTCTTTTTCTTGTATGCATAATTTTAAGAGGATTTTAAAGACTCTTTTTCAATTTTTTTTTTTTTTTTTTTTTTGCCCTAGCCAGGAGTATAGCTTGGAAGGGGTAATGTGCAAATGCAACTTGACATGGGTGCCAGTCAATTTAATTTGAAAGAAATTAAAGGTGTTGGGATCTTCATTTGAAGAATGTTGGGCCACGAGGCACAGAATCGAGTTGTGGTACGCGGGCCTCTCACCGTCGTGGCCTCTCCCGTTGCAGAGCACAGGCTCCGGACGCGCAGGCTCAGCGGCCATGGCTTCACGGGCCCAGCCGCTCCGCGGCATGCGGGATCCTCCCGGACCGGGGCACGAACCCGCGTCCCCTGCATCGGCAGGCGGACTCCCAACCACTGCGCCACCAGGGAAGCCCTCTTTTTCAATTTTTTATAACTACATGGCTATGTAATTCTTGCATGTACATGATATATACTGATTTGAAAAATTATCAGCTTTTCTCTCTTTAGGCAAGATCTGAGAAGCAAAATGTTGATTCATTTCTCATTCCTCAAGGTTAACTTTAAAAAGATGGCCTAAGAAGCAATAAACTCTAAGAGCAATAACAGTCTGCCTCAGATTGTTACTTGGGTCCTGTGGAGACTAACAGGGATGCCATCTGGTTATTTACAAAACATTCTAGAGTATCACTGCCTTGATGTGGTGATGTAAGTAAGAATGTAAAATTATCGTGCATGTCACTCTTCTGCAGAGTTCTGTAGCACCGTATGATCTCAGTTTAGAGTGATGCCTAGAAGGTCCGTCTAGTGAGGAAATTCTGATGGTTATTATAAAGGGCATTTTAAAAAGTGTTTACAACTTTCCATGCCCATTGCTTTCTTGTTTGCACACAAACAGCTAATATATAAAAATGTCACTCATAGCAGCTACATATTTCAGAAGAATTTAGGGTGAAAATAATGAATGCTATTAATGAAATTATGTAACAGCAGTTACAAAATGCCGCCAACAATCTAGATAAATGTGAAAGCCATGAATCAAAAAGATGGCAGTTATGTTTCGCGGTTAAGTGTAATCATAGCAATTTGAACCACTTCAGCTGTGTTAATCCTTACCTTTCTGTAGTTTACCTATATCATGGAATCAGTACCGAGGTACACAGACATTAATTAGGCTTAAAATTCTACAGTTTTATCTATAGTCCTGTATTTGTTTCCATTGCTGCTGTAACAAATTACCACAACCTTGTGGCTTCAAACAACAGTAATTAATTTTCGTACAGTTCTGGAGGTCAAAGTCCAAAATGAGTTTGTTATTCAGGGCTAAAATGAAGGCGTCGGCAGGGCTTGTTCCTTCTGGAGGTTTCAGGGGGAATCGTTCCTTAACTTGTTTCATTTTCTGGTAGCCGCTAGCATTCCTTGGCTTGCAGCCACATTACTGATCTCTGCTTCTGTGGTCACCTTATTTTGTCTTCTGTAGTCAAA